AAGGATGCTCCGGCTGCCGCGCCCCCCGCTCCTCCGAGCTCCTGCGTGGTTCGTGGGCTTGGTTTTCCCAGCGTTTCATCGTCCCTCGGCTTGTGCCGCAACCTGTCTCGTCTCTGGGGGCACCGTGCAGCGCGCAGTGCACCTGTGGCCAGAGCGCGGCGCAGGAGGCAGGAGGCAGGAGGCTGGAGGCTGGAGGCTGGTGTTCCCCGCGGCGCTCGCCTCGCCCTGGGGTCTCTTGTTTCCCCATCGGTTGGAGTGGCTGTGGGCAGAGGGCGTCACTGTCCACCTCATAGAGTAGCTGGGGCTTTGCAGGGGAACCAGCCTAGAAGCCAGAGTAGCGTGTCCGTTGTCAGGAGTTTAGGGCTTGCAGGGCGGTTCTTTGTTTGGGGAAACGTTTATGGAGCACGTTCCAGTGCTAGGCTGTGGCAGTGCCCCTGTTCTGCACACAGACGCGAGTCAAGTGGCGTGGAGCTTGGCACTGTCACCCACGGGGGGTGAGGAGATGGATGGTGGCAGTGTAGCTGCCAATGAATGCGCTGCCCCCAGCGTGAAGTCGTTTACATTATTATTTATTGTTCTCTTTAAAGATGGCGCTTTTGTTTACCTGGCTGGTGTGGCTCAGTGGGTTAGAGCATCCTCCCCGGCACCCAAAGGTCACAGGTTCCATTCTGGTCAGGGCACCTGTCCAGGTTTCAGGTTTGATCCGCACGTCGGGGTGAGCACGGGAGCCAACCGATCGATGTTTCTGTCTCACATCGATATTCCTCTCTCCCCCTTCCTCTGTCTCTAAAATCAATAAAAACATTAAAAACAAAATAAGGATGGCGCTTTTTCAAAGAAAGCCAGTTGGAAACGAATCCAGATGCCCTAGAATCCTGCCGCAAGCTGGTGGCTAAAGGTGTTGGCAGGGCCATGCTCTCTGAAGTCTGTGGTGGAGGGAGTCCTTGCCTCCTCTATCCTACGGTAGCCCCGGGTGTTGCATGGCTTGTGGAGCATAACTGTGCCCTCCACTTCCATGTTCACATGCCCATCTCCTGTGTCTGTACCCCTGTGTCTGTGCATGGTGTTCTCCACCTGTGTGTGTCTGGGTCCAAATTTCCTTATAAAGACACCTGTCATTGAATTAGGGCCCACCTGAATGACCTCATCTTAACCACATAGACCTTACTTCCAAATAAGGTCACATTGACGATCCAGGATGAGGACTTCAACATGTTTTTTGGGGCACATCTGAGCCCATTACACATCTCTAGAGGTGTAATGGGAAGAGTCAGGTTCCAAGGACTGACCCTTAAGGACTTGACCATTCACTCATGAGATGAGTAGTTGCGGTCTGCCGCTCACGTGCCACTGGTGTAGGTGCCAGAGGAAATAGGTCAGGCAGAGGGACTGTGAGCTTTGCTGCAGATGCCCACATGTCAGTCTAGAAAGAACCCGTGGGATGAAAGGGGAACTGGTGGTTGAAAGAGTCCCTGCCCTCTTGCATTTGTAGGAGTTGACACAAAGAACTAACACACAGGGTAGGAAGTTCTGAGTGCCCACAAAGGTGGCAGGGGAGGGACACAGAAGAGTTCAAGGTGGGAACTTCAATTCCAGCAAAGGCGCTGAGAGTGGCTCCCTGGGGGAAGTGGCCTTTGCATGGTGCCTTGCTTGTGTGATTGGCAGGAACTGGATAAGAAGCAGTGGAGAAAGGCCGTTCAGGTGGAGAGAAGGGCACGAGCACAGGCTGGCCAGTAGGAAAGAGTCGCACATGTGCATGGAACAGCGAGGAGGAACAGTGTGAGTGACAGGGTGGCGTGGCGGCTCAGAAGGGTCAGCGGGAGGCAATAAGTATTAGCCTTCAGAAATATTCGTCACAGCCAAAGAAGAACCTAAAGGTGCCCTCTGGCGCACTTGTTAAACAGAAGACGCTTTCCACTGACAGCTCTGCTTAGTCACAGTTCTGCTACGTTCATAGCACTGTTAGAGTGTCTCTTGATCTGTGCTGTGTGCCTTTCATCTGTGTATTAATTTTATTTTAGGTGAGAACCCAAGGCAAGAGTCAGTGAATCTGAAGAGAAATTGGACATTCCTGTGGGCTCCATAAGTACCTATGGTAGGTCCAGCCTGAGATCTTTTTCCTCGAGTGACCGTTTGTCACGGAAGAGGGAGAAGGGGCCCAGAAAGAAAACCTCCCCTTCTCGGAGGGTCCATTTCCTGCTCAGTAAAGTACACACACTGCCTTTGTGATTTTCCGCTGTTGCTCTCACTTCTGCACCCTCCCCAGGTGGGCGTCAGTGACTGGAGTGGTTTGTTTGAAGTAGGGCAAATAAATTGTGCAGCCAACTGGGGTGGTTGTGGTGCTGGTGCTGCCTGGTGAGGGGGCGATTCTCACCTGAAACCCTGCTTCTGCAGTTGGACCCTAGGGGGCAGGACACGAGCAGGATTCGGCAGGGCTGCAGGGGCTGAAATCAAACAGAGGAAATGTAAACTCTCCTCTGCGGCGGGTTTTGACACCATGCGCATGGGTGTGTGAAGCCTGGGTTTTGTTCGGTGCTGGGACATGAGGTGACAGCACGTGGCCGTGAGGTTCCTGTGATGCTTCTGCTGTCATTTCCACGTGGTGGCTGCTGACTCACCACATGGACCGTGACCTGTCAGGTAATGACTTTATATGGTTGTTAGATAGCACCTTATAGTTTGCGGAGAGATTCCATTTATTGCTTACTTTGACCCTGTGGGTGTTGTCAGCGTGATGAAGGCCAAGTTCACAGAGGGAAGGGACGGGCTGTGTTGTAAGAGGTGGCACTTTAAAGTAGGGTCACCTGAGTTTGAATCAAGGCACCATGGTCTGTTTCCTCTTTTTTGTAACATGTTTTTATTGATTTTAGAGAGAGGAAGGGGGCGGGGAGAGAGAGAGAAATTGATGAGAGAGAAGTATCGGTTGACTGCCTCCTAGAGGGGATCAAGCCTGCAACCTGGGCATGTGCCCTGACCTGGAATCCCACCGGTGATCTAAACAGTGACCTCTTGGTTCATGGCACCTCGCTCAGCCAACTGAGCCACACCCGACAGGGCTGGTTGGTTCTTAACACCGGCTCTTAACCTTCATACCTCAGCTTTCTCATCCGTAAAATGGGGGCAATGACGATAATAATATCGAATATTTCTTGAGTGTTTTCCCTGTGCCAGGCACTGCTCTCAGTGCTTTCTGCGTGTTCGCTCATTTAATCCACACTATAGCCAATGAGGTGTGCAGATACTGTTGTTATCCTCATTTTACAAAGGAACCAGAAGTCCAGGGAGGTTAAGTAACTTTCCCAAAGTCACACAGCTAGTGAGTGATGGAGCTGGGCCTCAAACCCAAGCTCTGGCGCCCACGCTCTACCACAGTCTCAGCTCTATGGCACTATCAGTGCTGGCGGGGTGAGGGGGAGTGAGCTTACGGGTGAAAGCATCCCAAACTCTGCCAGGTGGGTTCTGTGATGGGAGTTCCTTCTCTGTCCTGCTCTCGAGGCAAGGTGTACCTGACTCCCCATCTCCGCCTCACATGCCTTTTCTGCCCTGCCAGGTTGCCTCAAAAGCAAAGCTGTTGTAAGTCCATGGAGGAGGTACCTCCATTCATAAAAGGCCCTCACAGCCCCTGGCTTTCGAGCGTGGTTTTTTGAGGAACCCCTTCTTCAGATGAAATTGTACACAGAAGTGTAACGAATGCAACCTTCCCTGGCTGGCACCGGAGTGGGAGACTGGCATCCTGAGCTGCCCTTGCAGTTCGAAAACCAGACTGTTCATAGCAGGAAACGGGTCCAGAGAGGCCAGATCACTTGCTCAAAGACACACAGTGGTCCTGGTGGATGCTGGCCCCTAGTCGGTCAACCTGAATTGAGCACCCACCACATGCCAGGCATGGTAGTAGGCCCCGGGCAGAAAGCAGTGGGGAAGAATGCCAGTTCTCTGCCCTCCAGTAGGCTCAGAACTGCAGAGGGCCGAGGGGCTGCGCACCTGGTCTGGAGAGTCAGGGAGGCTGTGTGGAGCAAGTGACATTCACTTATGCTGGCAGATGAGTGGCAGGTGGCTTGGTTAGGTGGAGAGGGTGGGGGAGTTCTGTAGGCATGTGCCAAGGCCCTGAGTGGAAGAGAGCTTGGGCAGAGAAGTCCAGTGTGGCAAGAACAGAGTGGGTGGAGGGGTAGGTGCACAAGATGTGCGTGGAGAAGCAGGTGAGGGCCAGGGTATTGTTCAAGTGCACTGGAGCGCCATGGAGGTTATTAAACAGAGGAAATTGGAGGCGGGAGTCAGTTCCTGGCTGTCCGCAGCTGCCCTGAGCAGGGCCGACCTCCTGTCCTGCCCCAGGTGCCTCTCCTTTGTGGCTCCTGTCGCAGCTGCAGTTGAACATTTGTTGATGATTAATTGCTGCCTTTATCTCCCACTCAACCGGGATTTTGCAGTTTTGGCACAGTTGACAGTTGGGATTTTGCAGTTTTGGCACAGTTGACAGTTGGGTTGGATAGTTGGTTGTTGGGGGCCGTCCTGTATGTTGTAGGATGTTGGGCAGCATCCCTGGCCTCTATCACTAGATGCCAGAAGCATCCCCACCCCCAGTTGTGACTAACACGATGCCTCCAGACATTGCCTAGTATCTCAGGGCACTGCACGGCCCCTGGCCTGGCTGAACACCACTTGCTGAAGGGGACTGAACATGAGGGGGGTGAGCTCAGGGAATGTTAAGGATCCTTTGAGTGAGGGGAGCTTGGTGAAGTTTCGCAGCCCTGAGATGCTGATCTCTTCCAGGATTATGGCAGGAAAGGTGAAGTGGGTCACTGATATCGAGAAGTCAGTGCTGATCAATAATTTTGAAAAGAGAGGATGGGTCCAGGTGACAGAAAACGAGGACTGGAATTTTTACTGGTGAGTATAAAAAGCAGGATTCATCGCTTTCTGAAGCCCATTTATCAGTGCTGTGAATTCAAGCCCAGCTCCCAGCTCCCGGAGGACCGCGTTCCCAGAGGCGGGTGTCTCCACGCCGCCCAGTGCCTCCTCACATTCTTCTCTGCACACGAGAGCCCTGGGCTCCTGCGTGTTGTGGAGGTTCCCACAGTCCTGTTTATCGGCCAGACAGAGTGAGGTTCCCACTGTGGGAATGTGGGTGAAAAACCAGAGCCCACCGCCCTCTGGTTAGTGTTTCTCGCAGTCAGTGCCCTACTGCCTGGGAATGGGGTGGGGGGAAACAGACAGGAGGGGCCTGTGGGAGGGGGTTCTGTATCTGTGCTTCCCTTTGCTTCCCTCTCGGATGGGAGGAGGGTGCTGTGTGGCCTAGGTTAAAAACAACACCTGGAAGGTGAGTCTAGGAAAGGAAAAGCAGCGATTTGGCATTGCCTCCTGGGCTGGACTCTACCCAGCCAGGAACCTGGGAGTTGTCCTGGACTCTTCCACCTCCACTTCCTCAGGGTGAGGTCGAGTATCCTCCTGGGTCCAGGCCTCGTCTGCTCCCGCCCTCAGTGGTGACAGAGCACCCTACCTCAGGGCAGCCTCCCCTCAAACTTAAATCCAGTTGGTCGTGGCCTCTGCCATCCCCGACCCTCTGCAGACCTGGGTCCAGAGCTTCGCAGTGCATCTCTGAGGCGGGGGGCTCATCAGGATCTCCGGGAGCTTTTTCAGCCCACACACCCCCCTCCCCAAGACTCGTTCTCCCTGCCACTGCCCTGAGGATGTTACGGCCTCTGTTTAGCCAGTTCCCTTCTCTTTCTCCCCCCATGCAGCAGTGGTGTGTTTTCCCCGTTGTTCTTGCTCCTATGCCTGTTTACTGCTGTGCTCTCTGCCCCCTCTCAGCCCGTCCTTCAGAGACACAGTGCACAGGTGAGATCCCTGCCTGGCATGGCTCAGCTGGTTGGGGTCGTCCCGTGCACCGAAAGGTCGCAGGTTTGATTCCTGGTCAGGGCACACGCCCAGGTTGCCGGCTTGATTCCCAGTGGGGGCGTGCAGGAGGCAGCCCATGGATGGTTCTCACATCGATGTTTCTCTCTCCCCCTCTCCCTCCCTCTCTCTCGAAAATTAATAAGGAAATAAAAAAGATCCGAGAGAGAGAACACCTGATCAGATGGCCTGGCCCTTGTATTTGCACAAGCCGTAAAAGATATCAGATGATTGGGAAGCTTGAACACTGGTTCCTAGTCAATGACTTTCAGGAATTACTGCTGCTTTTTTTAGTTGTGATAACAGTATAAATTAGGATATTGTATAGTATAGAAAGGAGTCCTTAGCTGCTATAGGTTCCTGCAGGAATGTTTTGGATGAAAGGATGCAATGTCTGGGAATTGCTGCAGAACAAGCCAGAGCTGTCAACCGTAATTTAAAAAGTAAATGAACAAAACAAAATAGCAGGGGAGTGTGTGGGGAGTGGGTGGGGCACAGACGAAGCAGTGCAGGGCCGGGAATGACAGCTGTGCTCTGGATCATGGGGCTGTTACACCTTCCTCGCTACTTTCAGATACGGTTGAGCTTTTCCATAATAAAGAGGGAAAAAAAAAATCTTATTCTAACAATCTTGGGTGCTTCAGACTCCCTGTTTAGGTTAGTGCCCTGGGGTGGGGGTGGGGGCAGGGCCCATAGAGTGAGAGCCCCAAGCCCTCTTGTCTTGTGGCTCTGGTTCCTTTGTGAGTGGCAGCCCTTCTGTCCTTCCTGCTCTTTCCTTCCCTCTGGGGCTGGTGAGGACAGGAGGGTGGAGCAGGGACACTGGGCCTTCTTAGAAGATGAGAAGGAATTCGCTCTCTTCCTGCTCTCCTCGATTCTTAGGGTACAGCCCAGTTTAGAGCTGACCCAGGACCTTAACCCCTGGGGTTTGGGTCTTAAGGGGTCCCTGTCCTTCCTGACTTTGGGCGCAAATATTGTGTAAATGACTTGCCTGATTTCAGAGTCTGAAAAAGTCTGTCTTTCATTAGTTTGTTATCAGTAATCAATGTTATTAATCGATGAACATTTATTGAGCACCTGCTGTGTGCCAGAGGGTGAAACCATTCAGGGTAGAGCCAAAACAGCTCCTGCCTCAAACAGTTCATGTCATAGCGGGTCACTGGACACGTTTCCCATGCTGCTGTGGGCCGTGGGCGGGCGCCCCTGGCTCAGGGGCTGGGGTGGGGAATGGGTAAGGGCTCTGAGGAGTTCCCGGGCCTTAATGAGGACACCTCCACGTGGACAAACGTGAGCTTCTGTCCTGCATGTCCCTGCTGTGCTTCCCTTTTAGGATGAGCGTGCAAACCATCCGAAACGTCTTTAGTGTCGAAACTGGCTACCGGCTCTCAGACGATCAGATTGTCAACCACTTTCCGAACCACTATGAACTGACCCGGAAGGATCTGATGGTGAAGAACATTAAGAGATACCGGAAAGAGTTGGAGAAAGAAGGGAGTCCTCTGGCAGAAAAAGACGAGAATGGAAAATACCTCTACCTGGGTGGGTGCCATTGTCACTGGCCTCCTGCTTTAGACATAAGCAGTTAAGTTTCTCAGCTGCAGCCTCGCAGGGCAGCGAGGTGGCACCCGTCGGCTGTGGTGGGGGATGTGTTTGTGCAGGTTACACTGCGCGTCTCAACCCAGTGTCTCGGGGTGGGGGGGGAGCCTCAAGTTCGCAATGTAAGTTAATGCCTTGGGCGTGTGCCTTGTGTGAGGGAGAGAATGTCCCCAGTGCTCAGCATGTGTGACCACTTCCTGAGCTACAAGGTGCCACGAAGGAGTGTTGCTTCATCTAGCGACAGCCAGGGGGAATGTATGTCCCTGTCCTGTCTGATGATAAAAGCTGGACTATCGGATAGTTTCAGATCCTTTTGTGTACCTGGCCATAATTACGTGAGTGACCTCTGGGCCTCAGTTTCCTCGTCTGGTAAATGGGCATGCTGTCAGTCCATAGCTCACAGGTGCTGTGGGGAGTAGAGGATACAGACTCGTAAGTGCTTAGCGCACTAGTCCTGAAGGCAAATTATTACTGCACAGAATTTGAACCACAGAAGTCCCCGTTCTGTTAGATGCTGGGTTGGGCCACGTGGGGCATGGGTAATGACACAGGCCCCTGGATAGACAGTGGCTGTAGTTTCTGTATGTGGCCCCTGCTGGGCTGGCTCACTGTGTCCCCTCCCCTTTACCTTTCAGACTTTGTCCCGGTCACCTATATGCTGCCCGCCGACTACAACCTGTTCGTGGAGGAGTTCAGGAAAAGCCCCTCCAGCACCTGGATCATGAAGCCTTGTGGCAAAGCCCAGGGCAAGGGCATCTTTCTCATCAACAAGCTCTCGCAAATCAAAAAGTGGTCCCGGGACAGCAGAACATCCTCGTGAGTGGGGGAACCGTCTGTTCTGTGTGCCTCCTCGCTGGCAGTTTCCTGGGGGGCCCTCGCTTGCTTTTGCAGGGGTACATCATTTCTAACGGGTGTCAGGGAAAGGCCCTGTGGCTACAAGAGCAGCATTAACCATAGACTCTCCCCTGAGGAGAGGGGCAGAGGGAAATGGTGCAAGAACCAGCATGAGGTCACAGGAGCAGGAGCCTTTGACCCCTGTAGTTATAGTATTTCTGAGACAGCGAAGCATCTGCCTAAGGCCTGGGGCTTTACTCCCTGACACTTACAAGTATATTTTGTTGTATAGACCCCTAGATTCCTCACCTGGGTGAACTGAGGACGCTGATAGCATCGCCCCCACAGGGGCAAGCTGGGGATGGACCTGGTTAACCCACACCTGAGTGCCGGTCGGTGGGGAGAGTCACGTTAGGTCAGGTCCAGCCTCCTTCCTGGGTTTGAGGGTATCCTTGGAACTGAGGACATTTTGCCCAAGGCTTACTCTTTGCTTTTGCAAGGCCTTTAACTGCTGTCACTGTGACCCTTTCCCATGAGTGATGGCTCACCTGTCGGGAGTTCCCAGTACTGGTGAGGATACCTTCCTATGTGGTGCATTTAAATCTGATGACACATTGCTAGCCCCCAGACGGGTCAGCCCCAGGAGCTGCTGCTGTTGTCGCCTAGGGCAGGGCTCCGGGGCTTCTCCTGGACAGCATGTCACCCTTGTTTTATCACTTAGAGATGGGAGCTGGTTACCAACTGACTAAATGCACCTCTAGTCTCTGGCGTCTAATTCCGGCTTTCTCTGCCGTGTCTAGGTTTGTGTCTCAGTCCACAAAGGAAGCCTACGTGATCTCTCTTTACATCAACAACCCGTTACTAATCGGCGGGAGGAAGTTCGACCTGCGCTTGTATGTCCTGGTGTCTACATACCGCCCGCTGCGCTGTTACATGTAAGCACCCCGGGATCCCGTTTCCACCCTTGGTTGTGCTGTGAGTGATGCATATTCCCTTGTGCCACTGTGAGGGGTGGTGAGGGTTAGTATTGAGTGAAGTGGTTAACCTTGATGCTTACAGTAACAAACAGTTCTTTCAACCTTGCAAACATGCTCAGGGAAAGAAGCTAGATGCAGAAGGCCACACACTGTGTACTTCTGTTTATATGAAATGCCCAGAGCAGGCAAATCTTTAGAAACAGAAAGTAGATGGGTGTTTGCCTAGCACTGGGGCTGGGGAATGACTGCTAATGGTCCCGGAGTTTCTTTGTGGGGTAATGCAAATGTTTTAAAATTGATTGTGGTGATGGTCACGCAACTCTGAATATACCATAAACCCTGGAATCTGTACCTGAGGTGGGTGAGTTATGTGACACGTATGAATTATATGTCAATAAAGCTATTAGGAAAAAAGAATCATTGAAAAAAGCAGTGCTTTTAAAAGTTTAAAACAACAGAAAACCCCCAGCTCCTTTTAGAGAGCGCATTGCTGTATTTTTTTATGCTTCTCCTCAGAGTACCGAACTGACCTGAGTTCCCCCTTAGGTATAAGCTTGGCTTCTGCCGCTTCTGCACAGTGAAGTACACGCCCAGCACCAGCGAGCTGGACAACATGTTTGTGCACCTCACCAACGTGGCCATTCAGAAACACGGGGTAAGTGTTTTCACTTGAGCCTAAGGAGGGGAACATGGGGATAAAGAAAGCCAGGTGCAAGCCCTGCGTCTGTAGTTCTGTGGCCTTGGGCAAGTTAATTTGACTCTCAGAGCCTCGATTTCTCCAGTTGTAAAAGGAGATATTACCTTAGAGGGTTGTCGGCAGATTACGTGAGTCACTCACGCTTAGTCGTTCATTCATTCAACAGATACGCCCTGAGCAGCTATCTGGATTGGTCCTGTGCTCAGTGCTGGGGCTACAGTGCTGGGCAGTTGCTACCTTGGTCCCTACTCATGGAGCCTAGAGCCTGTGGGGGGAAGACAGTCATCAGATGACCCCACTGATGAGCGTGTCATCACAGACTGAGATGTGTGCTCTGAGCATAAGGAATGCACATCTGGAAGAGTGTAGAATGGCGGGGTTCCCTTGTTCCGGTGGTTGGGGAAGGCTTCCCTGCAGGAGCTGAGCAGAGGCCTGAAGTATGCACAGGGGTTACCCAGAGGGAGATGGGGAAAGAGCCTTCTAGCTTAGGGTACAGCATGTGCCAAGGCCTCGTGGCAGGAAGGAGCATAGCAGGAGCTGAAAGGAAGTCAGGGTGGCTGGAGCCCTCAGCTCGTGGGTAGTGGAGTAAGCAGTGCCTTGGTCTTAAAGTGGGGTGGTCTGGGTGGCCTCTATACCATGCACTATAAGGTATAAATGAGTAATTGTGAGAATATTCCAGAATCAAGTATTTTAAAAACGTGCACCTGTAGGAGGCCCAGATCCCCCTGGGGCCAGGTCCACCCAGAGGAGGGAGGGGCACTCGGTTCCTCTGGGGAGCATTGCCTGAGACCCTGCCCCCTTTCCCATGGCCAGGAGGACTACAACCACATCCACGGGGGCAAGTGGACAGTGAGCAACCTGCGGCTGTACCTGGAGAGCACCCGAGGCAAGGAGGTGACCAGCAAGTTGTTCGACGAGATCCACTGGATCATTGTGCAGTCGCTGAAGGCAGTGGCGGTGAGTATAGGGCGTGGGAGGGGTGGGAGGCAGGGGGCAGAGAGAGCAAGGGGAAGACACAGCCTGGCAGGTGTGGAACTGGTGATGCTTGTTCTTTGCTAAAAATACCTGTTTTTGAGGTCTCACCTCCTACTTGTCTGCTCAAGGCTAAGGCAGGCTCAGGGAGGGGGAGAGGCCATTTCCAGCCAGGTGCAGCCCAGGGTGGGCCTTGGGCCGGACCCTCTGCTGTAGCCACGGGCCTGGAGAGTCCCCTTGATGATGTCATCTGCTCTTCTGTGCCCACTGAACCGATAAGGAATGTTTTGGCGTATGCTGATGTTTTGGTGGTGGACTTTCAGCAGCCTCCTTATTTTCAAGCTTTTTGCTTTGCTATTTAGGGCTGGAGATACCATATCTTCTTTAATCTCAAGTCTCCTATTTGTTGGCTGGTGTGTGACTTTGCACAAGTGCCCACCCTCTCGGAGCCTCAGACACCTCCTCTGGGAAATTGGGTTCTAGGCACTGATGCTGCAGGGTTGTCATGTGACCATGCTCTGCAGGGGTGGACCTAATGATTGGGGCAGAGTAAAGCCGGCAGTCTCTTAACCCAGGTGACACTAGGGCTCTTCATGCCTGATTCAGCCAGCCTCTCCCTCCCTTTACACCCCTTGCATTGGCAGAGCTGTGTTCTGGCCCAGCCGTCACCTGTCTCACGGCTGGGACCTCTGGCCAGGGCCCCTGCACATTCCCTCCTGGGCCTCAGCCTCCAGAGCTGAGAAGCTGTTAGATTTCTAAGGCTCCTAGGGTTTGGGGATCAGGGGTTTATTTATTCAGTTTTTCTTCATTTGCCAAATACGTAGTTGCCCTGTTTTTATCAGGTATGTTGCCTTCAGAGAACCTCGGGGACAGGCAGGTGGCCTCTGTGATGCATGCTGGCCGTGTGACCATGGTCTCTCTCTCTCTGCAGCCCGTGATGAACAACGACAAGCACTGTTTCGAGTGCTACGGCTACGACATCATCATAGACGACCGGCTGAAGCCCTGGCTGATAGAGGTGACTGCAGACGTGAGCCGGCTTGTCCCCAGACAGCCTGAGGCTGCTGCCCTGCTTCAGGCCCCACTGACCTAGCCCGATGGCCTGAGGGCCGGGCAGCAGGACTAGGGCATCTCATGGGTTTTTAAGTGTAACGGGGACAGATGTCCAGTGTGCGCATGTGCTGATGAGGCCACTCCAGGTCGGGCACCTCTGGTAGGCCCAGCCCACAGACAGGAGCTCAGTGGTCGGGATGCCCTGGTGCTCCAGGGTGCTCCCGAATAAGCCCTTGCTCGGAGGCCGTGCTGTGACCTCATCAGGATGTTGTTCCCATTCAGGGAAGGAGCTCACAGGCCCTGAAACCCTTGGGAAGTGGTGGCTGTTCTAGAAAGTTCTAGAAAGGGCAAGGTGGACAAGCCTGGCACACCCACTGAGGCCAGACATGGAGCCCACTTTGTGGGGTTGCCTCGCTTTGCTTTTTTTTTTTTTCTAAATCCTCACCTGAGGATATTTTTTCCATTGCTTTTCAGAGAGAGTGGAAGGGAGAGATTAAGAGAGAGAACAAAACATTGGTATGAGAGAGAGACATCGATTGGTTGTCTCCCACACTCGACTGGGGCCAGGATTGAGCCTGCAACTGAGGTATGTGCCCTTGGTCAGATTTGAACCCGGGACCCTTCAGTCCACAGGCCGGTGCTCTAACCATTGAGCCAAACAGTCTAGGGCCCGCTTTGCTTTGCAGCCAGGAAGAGGAGCTCAGGCCTCTGAGGGGACACAGGGTCGGACATGTCATAAGAATGAAGGCTGTCCACTCAGACGGTTCACCTCCCTGTGTGCCTCTGAGCACCTTGTCTTCTCACCATGCTCATGGAGAGGTGGGCAGCTCCAGCCCTTTAGCGCGGGTCCATTTTGAGCCAGGAAAGCCAAGTCTCAGAGCAAGTCATAGTGAGTGGTCCATGGAGGGAAAGTCAGCGGGAGCCCCTGCGGGAAGCTGCTGGGAGAGCCAGGTTATCCGAGAGCGAGTATGCTCCATGGCAGTGCTTCCCAGGCTATTGTTACACTGCACTTCCAGAGCTGTGCGTATGTGTTGTGTGTATGTGTGTGCATGTGTGTGCTTGTCTGTGCGTGTGTGCACCTGTGTGCCTGTGTGTGTGGGTGTGTGTGTGTGTGGGTATGTACGTGTGTGCTTGTGCATCTGCATGTGTGTGGGTGGGTGAGAGTGTACAGTGAGTGGGGAGATATACATAAAATATTTATGTTTTCTTTCCTTCCATCTTAAACAGTAACTTGGATGGAGTTCAAGCTTTTCTTGATGAGCTAGGATCTTAATTGAGAAGATTACTTCTTTTTTTTTTTTAAATATATCTTTATTGATCCAGAGAGAGGAAGGGAGAAAGAGAGAGAGTTGAAACATCAGTGATGAAAGAATTGTCATTGATCGGCTGCCTCCTGCACGCCCCCAGCTGGGGATCGAGCCCACAACCTGGGCACAAGCCCCAACCGGGAATCGAACCACAATCTCCTGGGTCCTAGGTCGATGCTCAGCTGCTGAGCCACGCCCGGCTGGGCCAAGAGAAGATTACATCTAACACAGTAACATCTTAGTTTTAGCATGTTTATAATAAGAATCATGGTATCGTGCTGTGTTACAGTAGTGATTTCAGGGGCACTGAGGCCTACACGCTCCCTCTCACTGTGCACGTTCGATACCCTGCCTGCACCACAGGGACAGTCGGGCTGTTTGGGAGACACCGAGCAACTTGCTGATTTGCGCCTCTGCTCTCCCAGGTCATTACGACTGTGCCTGAAATCAGAGTAAGGAGGTGGTGACTGAGGGCCTGTGGGACTCTCCACGCAGAAGTGTGTCCTTTGAATGTGTGGATTTTGTGACATTGCTTAGCTCCTCAGAGGCCTTATGGGACTATCCTCCGTATATCAGATGGGTTCCTCATTTGGGTCAGAACGCTGCTTTATGGGTGAGGTATTGCTCTCTTAGCAAGACAGGGCCCATTACCTTTTACTTCAACCCCACAGTGCTACTTGCTCAGGGTCATTTGGTTCACTGATCCAGCAAAGCTCTGGGTGGCTTTTGGTATTTAGGACAGAGCTCATCACACAAGTAGGCACTGCTGTTTGTGATATTCGTTGACCTAAAATTTTTATTTGCATGATGAGTGATTTGTAGATCACAATCCTAATTCTGCTTTTAAATATTATTTATGTTTCATCCAACATCTAATAAAAGTAGATTGCAAAGTGCTTCCCCCGAAGGTGCCCTGAAGATATTAGATATGAACAGTCTGAGACACAACTTGACCTAAATGCACAGTAGCAGCCTTTTCTCCAGCACTGCGCATTTTTTATTCCAAAGGAGTAAGTGACACAAGTGAAGGATGCGGTTTCTTTCTTCTCGTAGGTCAACGCGTCCCCATCTCTCACCTCTAGCACCGCCAACGATCGGATCCTTAAGTATAACCTGATTAACGACACCCTCAACATTGCAGTCCCTAATGGTGAAATTCCAGACTGTAAATGGAACAAGTCGCCCCCGAAGGAGGTTCTCGGCAATTATGAAGTCCTGTGAGTTTGCGGGTGACTGTGCTGTCGTCCTTGGGTGTTTCGGGCTGAGGGGTGCCAAGGCCAGCCTGGATTTTCTGGCTCCATGTGGACTTGCCTCATGTAGGCAGAGTACGTCATTTATCACTGATGTGATGGGACAGGTCATGTAGCAGAAAAGACTAGGCCTTTGTACGGTCTTTGTGTAGTAAATATTAATGAAGCTCTTGCCACATGCCAGGCACTAGGCACCCCGTGTCTGAAGTGGGTTAGTCATACCTGCCCCACAGGTGCTGTGTGCAAAGTGTTCCCAGACATCTCTCTCCTTCATTCCCCTGATGCCTCATTCGTGTTGCCTCTGGGGTCATTGCCCAATTCCATCTGGTGGCCAGTATAAGATGTCAACTGTGGGGCTGGGACTGTCCACAGTAACAATTTAACAAGGTTGTGCCCCTGTGCCCATGGCCTCTGGGTTGCCAAGACCCCAAGGGGGCCAGGCTGCTTCTCTGGACGATGTGGGATTGCCACCCTGCACCCGTGACCATTTGGCCCTGAACCCTGGAGGCTTTGTTTCTTTACTTTCCTGTTTCTAGATACGATGAAGAGCTTGCGCAGGGGGACGGGGCTGAGCGGGAGCTGAGGAGTCGATCGGGCCAGTCCCTAGGGCCCAGAGGCGGCCGATCGAGAGACTCGGGGAGAGCCGTGCTCACCACCTGGAAGTGACCCCCGGGAGGGGTGAGACTCCAACCGGGACCCGCCACTCACTGTGTCCAGGCCCTCACTCAACACCTATTTTGAAATTTCCTTTTTTCTAGAGCTTTTTTCCTTTCCTAAGCCCTGTAAATAAATAAAGACGTTTCTTTGGAAGGTTAAGGAGTCTATTCCTAGGGAAAAAACTCCATTTCTCCTTTGCTCTCACACTCACAAACTTCTGACACCAGACGTGCGGGGATTTTCCGCACACCGAGCATTTCTGTGTTCTCCAGCGGGTTCTGGGAGTCCTGCAATTTAACTCAGTTCTCACACTGTCTACCTGGAGATGGCGGCAGGTCCCACAGTGAGGGGCTCAGTCCCACAAGACCGCCCCCACTCTCACGACTTCAGAGCCAATCACAAGTACAGGTTGTCACCTGTGCTTCTGACTACAGACTGTATGTTGTAGGTTCCCTCACCCGCTCCGAGGGTTGGGTTAATTTGTTAGAGCGGTTCCGGGACTCAGGAAAAGTTGACTTACCAGATTACTGGTTTACTATAAAGGATACAAGTCAGGACCGGCCAGATGGCAGAGACGCGAAGGGCACATATGGAAGGGGCCACGGGTTTCCATGCCCTCCCAGGGGCACCATCCTCCAGGCCCTTTGTGTGTTCAGTAACCTGGGAGCTTTTCGAATTCCATTGCTTGAATTCCATAGTTCAGGATATTTATGGAGGCTTCATTCCATAGATGTGACGGATTAAATCATTGACTATTGGTGATTGATTCAACCTCTAGCCCCTCTTCGCTCCTGGAGGTTGAGGGGTGGGCCTGAAAGTGCCAACACTAGGATCACTGGTTAGTTCCCCTGGCAACTAGCCCCCCCCATCCCCCAGACTGAGGGCCCCACACCCGTCATTCATTAGCACAGATTGGCAAGGTTGAAAGGGGCTTGTCCTGAATGACAGGGACACCTGTGTGCTGGAGCCATTTCAGGAACTGGGAACAAAACCATAACAAGATGGCCCTGTAGCTGTTAGAAAGGAGATGACGAAGGTTTAGGGGCTATGTGTAATGAGCAAATATGTATATTTGTTTTGTTAACACTCACCCGAGGATATTTTTTTCCACTGATTTTTTTAGGGAGAGTGGGAGGAACGGGAATAAAGAGAGAGAGAAACATGGATGTGAGAGAGGCCTATTGCTTCGTTGCCTCCTACACACGCCCTGACCCAGGCAGGGAATCGAACCTGCAACCCAGGTACCTGCCTTTAAGCAGAAATCAAACCCGAGACCCTTACAGTGCGCAGGGTAACGCTTTAACCACTGAGCCGCACTGGCCAGGGCTGTGTGTTTCTTCTTATAAATCACAGTATCACAGTCCATTTCGCTAGGGCTGAAAGAACTGACTCCAACGTATAAAACTAGCTCTTTCCCCAGAAAGTATTGGCTCTGATGTGTGATTTAGTTCACTACAAGGTATTCATGTTTTTAAAATTTTGCATTAAATTAGAAACAAAACTGAAACCTAAATATCTCACAGAACCATGCTGCTGTGAGGAAGCAAGATTTTTAACCTGGCAGCTATTTTGGTTTCACCTGTTTCAACTATGATTTTGAGGGAAACAGGCAGCTGGAAATATGCCGCAGTAATCTGTTTTTACAAAGGCCTCTGTCTTGGTGCTCTCGGAAGGTAGCTGTCTCTGTCACCTCAGCTTTGTGGGTGAGCCACTGTCAGATGAGCCAGACTCTTCTGCGTGCGGCTTACTCAGTGATGTCAGCGGCTGGGTTCGCTGCAGAGGCGGTAAGCGCTGTGGGCTGCTGTCTGCTGGGACCAGCTCTTAATGTGTGTTCACACGAGGCCACCCCGGACACGGTGACTTACAGAAGAAGATGGGAGGAAACCCCTGTTGGTCGGGCAGAGTGCCTGACCCCGTTTACTGAGCTCATTGGCCGTCTTGAAGTTAAAACTTCCCGCCTGTGTTGTGTGATGCTGTTAGTAAGGGGATTTTGTTCTTACTGTATTAGGCTGAGACCTTTCCCGTACCCAGGTGTGAACACACATGACGTTTGCATGTCATATCGTGTGTGCGTGTGTGCTCACATATGTTTAATGCCATTTCACTGTTAGTTAGGGAAAAGGTCCTTTTAAGTGGATATAGTACCTCCCTAGCCAGTTTGGCTCAGTGGCTAGAGCGTGGGCCCGTGGACTGAAGGGTCCTGGGTTCGATTCTGGCCAAGGGCACGTACCTCAGTTGCAGGCTTAACCCCCGGCCCCGGACGGGGCGCATGCGGGAGGCAACCAATTGATGTGTCTGTTTCACATCGATGTTTCTCTCTCTCTTTCCTTTCCACTCTCTCTGAAAAGCAGTTGAAAAATATCCTCTGGTGAGGAATAAAAATAAAAAAGATATAGTACCATACAAAGTGGGAGAAGCATAACACAAGTGGTATTTAGCCAGAATCCAAACAAATGGCAGTTTTGGGGGAATTTGTCTGCTTTGTTCACTGCAAGCCTCACAGTGTTCTGACTTATTGATCTGCTTTGTGTGTGCCTTTTGTGGGTTCCTTGATGTTTAGGTCTGATGTTGGTGAGGTGGCTGTGGCTCTGAGCCTCTGAGTCAGGCATGGGCCTGAGGCCTGGCTCTGCCATTTACTAGTTAGTCCCAAGGCTGTCAGCAGCTCTTTGGACCTTTGCTTCCTAAATGTATAAAAAGAGCGTTAATTCTGTTTGCCCCAGAAGTCACAGTTGCCACTGCCTGTCCCTCGGGGCTCCAGTCACAGCTCTGACTGTCTTCTCACCCAGGAGGGGCCGTGATCCCTGGGGCTGTGGCCTCCACCCTCGGCTTCCCCGCACAACTCGTCCACCCACCGGTTCTGACAACCCAGGTTCCCCGTTAGGTGGTTTCATTTTTGCCCCTGGGGTATACCCGGGGATGGGTGGAGCCCCTGGTCGGGAATGCTGGCTTTGTCTGAGCGTGGCGAGCAGCGGAGTCCTCTGTTTGCTGATGGCCAGGTTGCTAGGTGAGAACAAATGTCTGCTAAATAGATTTGTGTCAGATATTGACTTGTTGCATTAGTGATGTCATGTTCTGGGCAGGCACTTCCTCCCAGCACTTCAGAGCACACATGGGGAGGAAGCGTGCGGAGGCTGAGGCAGGCCTCGGCAACGTGTGGGTGGTAAACGGACCACACGTCACTCCCACGGCAGCCCCCGCGTGGCCTCGTCCAGGGTGACAGTTTCTGTTTCCTTGCCAGCTCCCTTTAATGAGGGTCACACCATCTGGTCATCTTCGCAGCGATTCTTGTTTAACTTGATTTTTCCTGGAGTAAGCTCATCATTTGCCTGCTTCCCAAATGGGCTGCTCCCCTGTTTCCTTGGTGGGTGTGCCAGCCAGGAACAAAGGGATCTTCCTAAATGTACCGACCTCCAGCCCAGCAGCCCCCAAGTCAGGCGACAAGCTCCTCACTCGGTCTCCCACCTGGAGCCCCACCAGTCTCAGGCTACAGCCCTGTGGCAAACTGGGCTCCACCCTCTGGCCAGCAGGAGTTTTCCGACTTGTGGCCATTTCCTCCCACCACACGGTGGTTCCTCCCTGCCCTCCACAAAGCCTCCCATCCGTGGAGGCCCTCCGATCGCACTGTTGAGCCTCCCCAAACACCTGACTTCTCTGCCTGCGTCTTCCCCAAGGAGACGGGCAAATTCTAGCCTCCCTCCAGGCCCATTTCCAGCTCTGCTGTCTCCCAGGCAGCTGGGTGGTGCTTCCCCTGAGCTGCACCCTTGGCCTCCCCGGCAACAGGCCATCAGCCTCTGTGGTCCAGAGAGGCAGGCCGGGGTCTGCTGCAGGGACAATGGCCGGCTCACCTCTGGGCCCAGCTCCTGCTGCTGCCCAGTGACCAGGTACCCACAGGGTGTCCACAGTATCATTTAACGTGAACTGTGCCAAATGAGATGCCCTTGGGACATTTCAGGACCCTCTGTGAGGAAAGAGGAGCGCTATCCAATTTTGTTTCTTGTTTCTCATTTAGAAAGTTGGAGTATTTTTGTCTTTTCTGATTTGTCCCAGCCCGAACCATATTGTATCTCATATGCTTTTAAGTTAAAAATAGCATCCCCATACTCTGGGCCTGGGATTCCAGCCATCTCCATCTCATGCTAATTAGTAACAAGCCTGGGGGACTGCAGAGTCCCCTGTCCGCCACTTGTCCAATGTCTTGTCTTTTTCAAGTTTGACTCCCTTGATTTTCCTTACATATGCCCTGGCCGGTTTGGCTCAGTGGTTAGAGAGTCCACCCGTGGACTGAAGGTTCCCGGGGTCAATTCCGGTCAAGGGCATGTATCTGGGTTGCGAGTTCACTCCCCATCCCGGTCAGGGCGCATGTCTCTCTCTCCCTTCTCATTTCTTCATCCTTCCCACTCTCTCTGAAAAAGCAATGGAAAAAATATCCTCAGGTGAGGATTAACACAAACAAAAAAATTTTTTTTTACAAGGAAAAGATTGCCATCTCCAGTGGAAACAGAGGGCCTCTTCCAAATAGTACCAGTAAAATTNCCTCGCGCCTTCCACTCTCTGAAAAGCAGTGGGAAAAGATCCGTGGGTAAGGATAAGAATATATATATTGTGTTGTAGCCCCAGCCCGGGTCCAGGTTCTCTTCCCGGTTCCAAGGGTGGTCTTGACAGGAGAGTGAACTCCTGAGCAGTCTCTTTCCAGGGGTCAGGGCTTGGAAGCTGTAGCTTGGATGGGGCACACAGAAGGTAGAGTGCAGCCCGGCCGAGTGTGGCAGGGCTCCCTGCCCACCAGCAGCAGCGGCCTCTTGCAGCGGGATCAGGCCTGCCCCAGAGAGCCAGCCACAGCGGCAGGAGTCAGTGGGCCTCGCTGGCCTTACTCCCAGTGGCCCTCACACTGGAATGTTGGAAGCTTGGCCGGGATGGTGGCCCTTCGGCCACAGCACTTGACCCCCACGAGTAGCCTCCAGTGCCAGCCAGGGCTTTGAACCTGGCCACTGGGTCTGTTTCTGCAGGGACGTCACCCTCAGAACCTCAGCCTTGAGGGGGCATCAAAGACCTCAGGCTTCTTGGTGGGTATAGTAGGTTGAATAAATGCCCCCCACCCCAATTCATTTCTACCCGGAAACTCAGAATGTGGCCTTATTTGAAAACTGGGTCTTTGCAGGTGT